TGTGGATTAGGACGGGTGTGCCTTTATCCAGTCCTGTCTTTTCCAGCTTTCCAGCGAGTATCTGTCTGTTCACACTGTCGAAGGCTTTTGTGTAGTCAATGAAAATTGTGCAGTACTTCTGTTTTGGGGTTCGGAGAGCCTCCTTGATGTCGTTTAGCAGGTTTTCTATTGCTTGTAGGCAGGAGCGGCCTCTTCTAAACCCAAACTGCTTTTGAGGGATTTGTGGGTCGGCTATCATCGTGATTCTTTTTGTTAGCATATTTGTCAGCAGTTTGAATGATCTATTTTCTAGGGCTATCTCCCTGTACGAGTTGGGGTCGTCAGTCGCACCCTTGCCTTTGTATAGCATTTTGATATTCGACACTCTCCAGGGATCTGGCAGCTCACCAAGTTTCAGGCACTGGTTGAAGAGGCTTTCCCAAGTTTCTATGAGTAGCGGGCAGGAGACTATGATGTGCTCATTGAAGATACCATCTGGCCCAGCTGCCTTGTTTCTTTTGAGACCTGATACTGTTTCAGTAATCTCTTTTGCGGAGATTGGTCTGTATGTCCTTGTTGTTGGTGGTGGCAGTGTGGGGTAGGCTCGATTTTCTCCAGTCGGGTTCAGAATGTCTGTAAAGTCTGTTTGCCAAGTCTCCATCTGGATGGTGGGCGGTATTGGTACTTTCCTTTGTCTCAGCGCCACGAAAGGGTCAGTGACGGCTGCTGATGCTAGTTTCAGTCCTTCATTTTCCATATAAGTGTTCCTTTTATCCTTAAGAAGGATTTTGTACTGTTTCCTTGCCATCGAGTATGTCGCTAAGTCTTGGGAGAGTCCTGACAGTTTTGCTTGGTGTAAGGCTTGTAGAGTAATCCGTCTTATCCTGTAACAGTGCGCATCGAGCCATTGTTTTGCTTGTCTTTTCTGGACAGGGATTATTGCGGATTGGAGTAGCTGTTGTGTCTGTTGAGTTACTTTTGTAACACTGCTCTGTATCGCTAGTTGAATTGACTCCATTTCCTCTCTTGCTTCTGCTAGGACTTGCAAATCAAGCTTTCTCGATACTTTTGTGGCTCTTTTCTGATGGACTGACATTGCATTAGTCAGCATGTCGAAGGTGGCGATGACTGGGACGTGTTTTCTGAGTGGCGCTAGGCTAGGCAACTAGTCCACTGTTTATTGTCTTACACGTATGTTGTTTCCTCTGCAGAATATGTCTATCGCGCTGCTTCCATTGGGTGGGAGATATCTTTTTTTGCTCTGCAATGCTTGTTAGCCTAAAGCCTTCTTCTTCGAGAGCTTCGACTAGCAATTTTCTCCTCTGCGTGGCCTTATCTATTCGGCAGTTGAAATCTCCTGCTATTATTACTGGATCTTCAGGATGTATTAGTGACGTCGCGCTCATAATTGTTGCTATGATTGTTTCTACGTCTGTATGGGGTTTCAAGTACATGGCTAGGATGTTTACAGTGTCTGTTTTAACTAAGGTGTAGTTATCATCGCTGTGTCTGAGGGTCACTTGGCCCAACTTAGGATCGGTATAGCAAGATATTCCCCCGTAGAGTCTTCCCTCGTTTCTCTGTTGTGCTAGAGTGTGTGCTGAGTATTTCCCTGGGAGCTCTATTGGGTCTGTAGTCATTGTCTCTGTCAGTATGAGGAGATCATATTTCCTTAGTGCATTCTCTGGGACTTGATTTAGCACATTCCTCAGGCCTTCCACATTCCATAAAAGCATTGTCCATGTTTAGTTGCAAGGTCTGCCTTGTGAGGACTGACGTTTGTGCTGTCGTTGTATTCATCTTCTGAGCGGCGTTCCGTGTTGTTCTGTTCTCCGAAAACGAAAGGGTCTCACCAAAACGTTTCTGGGCCAGAAGCCTGGATCGGTTGTTTTTTCGAGATCATCAAATTTGAAACCTATCATAAATGCCTTATTGCGTCCTCTGGTCTCGAGCTCTTCACATGTGATCGCTCCTGTGATTCCACCTTCCTGCGGTGACGTCCTCTGTCGAAGTTCCTTCGTGGAGTTTCCCGTTGTATAGCCAGGCCTTTCGCGGAGCTGCTTTCATTCGGTTGTTTTTATTTGAATTTTCTCCAATTATCCTTGGATTTTTCCTTCTACCGGTCTGCGTCCATCCGTTCCTTTGATTTCCAGGTTGGGGGACCTCGGGGGTGCTTCGGGGATCCTCTTCAGTTTCCTGTTCTCTTTCGTCCCTTCCTTCAGTTGGTTCCGTGATGATACAAGATTTGTAAAACGAAACTCTACCACGAACCAGGACCCAAATGAGTATGTGAACTATGTGATCAACGATGCGACAGTTACCACATAACATAATGTACAGACAGAACCAAATCCATCAATGAATATGGACAGGATTAGGACGTCCTAGATACAGGAGAACTTTCTTATGCACACCTGAGCGCTTTTCCTATATTATTACAATTGTTCATCACACATCATGATTGGTGAATTGTATTGGAAAGTAGCATCAAAATATCCTACTGATATTACTTCGTACCTCAGAATAAACGCGGCCAATGGTATGAGACTCCGTTTGAACTCAGCGATAATGTTTCTGCATTCTAGTGTAAAGGTAACTGGTTTTCGTAGCCGGAGTTGAATGTTTCATGTTAACCAACATTTCGGCAAACAAAGCAGTTGCCTTTTCGAGGTGGGCCATGTGATACATAGTTTACAAGAGTATTTTTCGTTTGGGTGGTGGTATCTTTTCAACTGTTACACATTGTGATGTTTGTAAAACACAAAGGAATTGTAGCTGAAGGATCCGAAGTGATCTTCATTGTGCGAAAACATTTAGTTAATATTAAAATTGGAACAACTTTTTTGTTTTTAACGCTTTGATGTTAAACCTTGCCTCGATTGTTATGTAATTTATTGTGTTTTATAGTGTTATTTCATGTTAAATAAGTTCAGGCCTATGAAGGATCAATGGAACGTAAGTAAAGGCTGTTTGCTCTATTGTAAAGATAGATGGCACAGAGAGATATCATCACGTTATTATTATCATTATTGATAAAAATGATATGAAAATTCAATCATGAAACATTGCAAGAATTCTGTAACGAGTGATGTTTTTGAAATTTCTTGTGATTATCTTAAGGCCTTTGAATTGATTTATTAAAGCATACAAATTTGTGAATTAATCTGTTAAATTCTTATAGTAGCCTTCTTAAAATGCATTCTTAACTTTGGTACCCCTTTCTGATATATTTAATACTACCTAAAATCAGCTGTTTCCTTCTAGGACAAGGACAGATATTCCAAGATACATACAGGTGTTATTTATGAGAAGCTGAATTCATGTGTATAGAAACAAACCTAACTAGTAGTTATAAAAAGGTCTCAAGTCTTTATGTTCATCCTTTATAACTGGAAATGTTATTGCCACATGGTGTCCTTCAATTTCCATATCTGAGACATCCTCAGCTTTTACACTGATGACCTGATTACCATCCTGACAAGTCTCACTGTCTGAATGAGGTTCATCTTTCACCGAATCCATACAGTTCTGTAAAACGACCATACACATACACAATTATTATGTTGCAGAAATGATGTTTTTATAAAACAGTTACCCTAAAACAGAAGCACATGCATGCATGTATGGATACATTTGTACATACACTCAAACAGATAAGAACCATAAATAATTTGGTTAAAAGGAGGCTTACCTTCCATTCATCCTTCATTATGGGAAAAGCTGATGGTGTGTTAACCTCATCAGTTCTCATGTCAACGGAATTATCTTCACTCAGAACATCCACATCATTTTCTACCTTGATTTTATCAATATTCTGCAGTAAAATTATGAGTTAAAAATAATTCCTTGACTTGAGACCTTTTTATAACTATTAGTTATGTTTGTTTCTATACTCACCTAGGTCCCCGTCAGAGATGGAAATATTTCTTCAGCTCTGTGCAATATAATTTTTGGCACTCTTGTTGCAAGAGACTGCAGAATGTTTTTAAGATATGAAAATTGTCATCACACATCATGGTTTGTGGGTTAGGTAGAAAGTGGCTTGAAAGAATTCACCTTCTCATAAATGACACCTGTATGTATCTTGGAATATCTGTCCTTGTCCTGGAAGGAAACAGCTGATTTTAGGTAGTATTAAATATATCAGAAAGGGGTACCAAAGTTAAGAAAGCAACTATAAGAATTTAACAGATTAATTCACAAATTTGTATGCTATAATTAATACATTCAAAGGCCTTAAGATAATCACAAGAAATTTCAAAAACATCACTTTTGTTACAGAATTCTTATAATGTTTCATGATTGAATTTTCATATCATCTCTATCAATAATGATAATAATAACTCTCTGTGCCATCTACTTTTACAACAGAACAGCCTTTGTTTACGTTCCATTGATCCTTCATAGGCCTGAACTTGTTTAACATGAAATAACACTATAAAACACAATACTATTTCTCATACAAATATAAAGTGCATAACAATTGAGGCGGGGTTTAACGTCAGAGCGTTAAAAACAAAAAAGTTGTTCCAATTTCAATACCAACTAAATGTTTTCGCACAATGAAGAACACTTCAGATCCTTCAGCTACAATTCCTGTGTTTTATAAACATCACAATGTGTAACAGTCGAAAAGATACCA